TGACGCGGGGCTCGAACTCACGGACCGCGAGATCGTGACCTGGCTGAAGTCGGACGCTTAACCGACTGCGCCACCCAGGCGCCCCAAAAGTGATACAAATCTTAAATTGCAAGTCTTTTCTGTAACAATCCAAGGAAGTTAGCAAGACACGAGGTGTGGGGGGAGGGGGGATGTCCCCAAAGACTGACACACACACAACTCTGACCAGAATAAAGACCCAGCCACCAAGAAATCCCCACTGAACTCAAAGCCCGAGGCCCCCAGAGAATGTGAGAGGCTGTGAAAGGCAGAAACTGCTAAGAGTAGCAGTTCTCAAACATTCTGGCCCCAGCTCCTCTTTCCACTTTGAGGATCTTAAAAAGCTTGTTTTTAATGTAGGTTATACCTACTGCATTTGAAATTAAAACTGAGAAATCTAATTCATATAAAAAATAACAACACATTGCATGATAACTGAATAACATTTCTTAAACGAAAAACTGCATTTTCTAAAACAAACTAATAAAACTTAATGTGAAGAATAGTGTTGTATTACATTTTTGTACATTTCTTTATCATTGAACTCAACAGAAGACAGCTGGGTTTTTGCAAATCTGCTTCTACTGTACGGCAGGTATCATGGAAAATGGCTAACAAGAACACGGTACAAGTATTAAGGACAAACTGACTTCATGTAAAAATGCACACACACACACACACACACACACTTAGATTCTACACCTACTCACTACCTTAGAAAATTCTGGAAAACACAAGACTCTAAAATTGCACATTCTATTAGTGCTCTAACAGAAGAGTATTAGTGATGGCACCATCACACTTCCTGCAGCCTCTGGTAAATACCACCGTCCACTTGTGAGAGAATGCGGAAAAAGGACGAACAACACTTTAATGTTATGATATAAATAGTTTTGACCTTGCAGACCCCCAGAGAGCCTCTATGACCTCTAAGGGTCCAAAGACCACACTGAGAAACAACTATTCTCCAACACTTGGGCTAATGGCTTCTGAGTCCAAACCATGCCTCGGTGGGAACCTCCCTCTTAAGATGACTGGATTATTTAAATCTTCATTTCTTTTATGTTTCTTGAAATTCTAATTTATATTAATGAGGACTCTGAAAAACAAACAAAAAACGACATTTCCAGAGCTAGGGAAGGAGGGGTACTATCCCCCCCTCTGGGACAATTTTGGATTAATCGGACAATTTTGTCTTCCCAGTTTCCAGGGAGATCTGCTGCCTGAAAAGAGGCACTTCTGTTCTGAGTTAGGAGACAGCTCGTTCTCAGGCATGAAGCATTCTGCAGAGGGAAACGACCGAGCTGGTGAGGTACCTACAAGCACACCTGGGACAGCACGCAGTACCCAGCAGGCATCGGTGGAGGGGCCTGGGCAAGTGAGAGGATGCTGGAGAAGCTGCTCCCATACAGGTGTCTTGTGTACGGTCAGTCTCTTGCCCCGGAAGGGGACAAGACATACCGCTTCTTTATTACAATGGCAGCTCATGGTTCCCTACTCCCAGGGACTATTTTTGTACTAGATTCTAGAAGCACAAAGCTTCTTTTCAACAGTTTCTATAGAAAAGGTATCCCACGGCCCAGAGGACTGACTTTCACATAAACTTTAAGAATATACTGCTTATACATTACGTGTATTTGCAGGTGGTCACTAAAATCCTAACCTTTAACTACTCTTGAATCACAGCAATTACTTCTCACAGCAGCAGTGGCACTAATTGTCATGCGAAACTCATTTAACGAAGTCCTACAGAGAGAATTAACTTACTGTGCTAAGTATCACTTTATTTGAAACTACGAATAACTCAAGAAAAACAATGGAGAGAAGTTGGCAAAAAACTTCAAGGTGAAAAGTGAATGATTTTAAACAAGAAAAACAGAAAATTCTTGTTGACAATGATGGGAAACCCCATCTAGGGTTTGCTCTAAACAAACAAACAAACAACAACAGACAAACCCTCCAAAACCCAAAAAACTCATTTCTATTAAGAAATCAAAGCATTCCTTTCTATGACTTGTTTCTTCAGCTTCCATACACGCTCCTGCTAGTTCAGAGTCACAGTGAGGCACATTCATTATTCAGAGGTAGTTACGTAAAGTCATACTTTAGCGTACTCATAACTGAGTTCTTCACATTTTCCGTTATTTAAAAAAAGAAAATCTAAAACTGAAGGTGTAGGAAAGAAAAGAATGCGAAGGATATTTCAAAAATACTTACATGCTGAAGTAAAAAAGGAAACAGCCATCCCAGTAAAATTCAAAGGTGGAGGGGGGAAAGAATGGAAGATGTGAGTTTCATCATTTGACAGCATAATCGTAACAACTGTCTGAAGCTTAGATTATACGCGTTACGTACCTTCACCACGTCAACCCAGTTCCATCCTCGGGGAAGCTGTCCTTTGTGATCTAGAAGAGAAAATAGGGACTTTACTTCCAAGACCAAGCAGTAATTTTTAAATTAATTACCATTTGAATAAATCAGCGTTTGCATACTTATCCCATGCAACAAATTAAAATTTAAATCACATATTATGAAGTGAGAAAGCTAGTGTATCATCACCGGGAACTGGAAGCACGGCTCTGCCGGGGATACTGGCAAAGCAATTCGATGTACTCCCTTTTCACATTTACCCCATTTCATTCAAGACAAAACCTGATACTAAGGGGGAAAAAATATGGAGGTGAGTTGGAAAAGCCAGAAAGAGGAGCTAATCAATTTATTAGTTTCATGCACTTGCACAATTTTATTTGCTTTCTATAAGGTCACTGCTTATTTAAAGTAAGGAGTTGTGTTACTTTGCTGCTTCGGGTGTGTTTCACACTAGGGAGCTAGGCTCAAGACAAGAGACCTTGTAAACAAACGTCCAGCCCCAAGACTAAGAGGAGGCCCGGGCAACTTCTTTATTAATTTTTGTGGTCTGAGAAAATATGACTTATTTCATCTAACATTGTTTAATCTGACAGGCCTTTAATCTATTGGGAGCACTTGAAAACAAGCTCAAACTTTATGTAAGAATTTATAGTTTACAAAGTGATTTCGTTCTCGTGACAGAATATTTAAACTTGAAGAATAGTTTAATAAATACGATATAAAAGTGTTTTAATTTAACATGGCTTGATTTCCTGTATGGTCGATATATCTATATACATCTCATTTTACGGAATCTTCAAAATCTGCATTCAAAACCAGTACATTAATTTTATTTATTTTTTTATTTTTTTATTTTTTTAAAATTTTTTTAACGTTTATTTATGTTTGAGACAGAGAGAGACAAAGCATGAACGGGGGAGGGTCAGAGAGAGGGAGACACAGAATCTGAAACAGGCTCCAGGCTCTGAGCTGTCAGCACAGAGCCCGACGCGGGGCTCGAACTCACGGACCGCGAGATCATGACCTGAGCCGAAGTCGGCCGCCCAACCGACTGAGCCACCCAGGCGCCCCATCAAAACCAGTACATTAATTTTACACAGGGAAGTAGACACTAACCTCACGATTCTTATAGGACAGAGGCAATATTAGTGGAGCTCAACTTTAGATGCTAATACTTCTTTCCTCCTTCATGTCAGTAAGAATCTTATCCCACTGTTTACTGGTTATACGGGGCATGGGGGCAGGGCACCAATGTGGGTAACTAAAACTTACCCACAGCGCCATGACTGTCCTATTCAAGTTTTATTTAGAATCCAGGTCCCAAACTCCTATGCCATAACTATAGAAAGATAATCCCGGGGCGCCTGGGTGGCGCAGTCGGTTGAGCGTCCGACTTCAGCCAGGTCACGATCTCGCGGTCCGGGAGTTCGAGCCCCGCGTCAGGCTCTGGGCTGATGGCTCAGAGCCTGGAGCCTGTTTCTGATTCTGTGTCTCCCTCTCTCTCTGCCCCTCCCCCGTTCATGCTCTGTCTCTCTCTCTGTCCCAAAAATAAATAAACGTTGGAAAAAAAAAAAAAAGAAAGATAATCCCTTTTAGGTGGACGTCACCAAAAAGATGGAGATAGGGAACTATTAATGAAAGGGAATGATCATAGGTCATTATGTATGAAAACAACAGGTGATGAACCAACAGAAATGCTACAGCTTAAAAAAGAGATTAACTAAAATTCTAGAGAACAGATTACAACAGCTAACAATCCACTGCTTCGGTTGTTCATGCTTTAATTCTGCTCTGACATTAGGTATAATGGATTCCCTGATTTTTTATTTCACAAACCATTCCAACTTCAAAAATGTATCTTGAGGGCCAGCACAGGGTCGTGATCTTTTCATTCTGTCATGCAGGATGTTAAACAGAGCATCAACAACCAAAAAACTGCCATCACTTTGTAAAAGAAAGGGCATTATTTTAAACTTCCTCACCAAAGTACAAGGGTCAGTTCCTCTCAATGAAGGCCGACTTGTAACCTTATATCAATAACACACACACACACACACACACACACACACACACACACACACGTACAGACATATGTACACATGGACACACTTGTATATATGTATACAAATGTTTATATGCACCCACGGTAATGTCCTCATTGTTCTGGACCAGAAAAAAGTTTACGGACTGATACCAATTTGCAACCTTTCAGGTTAAATAAAGAGATCAAACATTATTGATGGTATGAGCTAGAATTTAGAACTCTCTTCTAAAGGTGCATACAAAATGACTTTGCTTTAGTAAAAACAGGAATTCTGTTCTTAAATCTTACTGTAGCTGTAAAAAATGATTGAGTACAGACAAAAGCATTAAACCATTTATTTGTGCAAAGACTGAATGGTATACCAAACTTCATTTCAAACGAAAGCTAGAGTTCAAAATAATTTGAGTGATACACGTGTCTCCCATAGAGATAAGCAAATAGGAAAATCCCAACATGCGGAGAAGGGTACGAGTTGGACCCACTTTGCTATGCTATTCTGCTGTTTCTCAGTCTCAAGACTCATTTGTGGTTATTTTGCCGCTCAGTTACCTTCTCCTCACGTGGTGATGTCTGGTGGTGAATTAGTGGTAAATATTTTCAATATATATCCGTGACCCAAGACGGTGTCTGATCCAAATGTTCCAAGAATGAAGAGACGAGACTTTCTCTTCTAAACCTAGATATACTGATTAAACACTCATATCATATTAAAAAGCAACCTATTTATCTGTGTTATTAAAAAAACAAAAACAAACACAAACCTGTTTTATCTGCCAGCTTACGTTTCTGAGCTTTTGAAAGTTGTTCTTTTTTGTCTTTTTTCTTACTTGATGGGGCTGTATTAGGAGTTTCAACGGAGATGATACTGCTTATGGGTATCTAGAAAAAAAAAATAATTCCTATACCAATGCCTTAAAACTTATTGAATTACACTAAATATGGCCACATCCACAAGTGAGTTGACAATTTTTAGATTTATGAAGTAAAAGAACCCTGTATTATAATATTCATTTATTAGGGCAGGTGTCATTAGCACATTGATATCACTCTTCCAAAAGTTCACACAGAAGGGCTTACATAAGATTAGCTCAATTATTATAACCAGGTCCCTGAGAAAGAAGATCTGACACCAGTATCACATTGAAGCTCTAAAGTACTAAGGTAACTTCACAATTCAATTGATTTGCTTTATTTGGAAATTTAAATAGGTCTTTAGGAAAATCGCATGTGCCTACCTAGAAAATCCTGATTCTCTGAAGAAATGAAGAAAAAGATTTCAATTTGGATTCATGCAGTCAGAGTGTGATCCACACAATTTAAAATGCTTCCTAGTTGCCAAGCATTGCTGTAAATGATGTACGTATAGTACTCATCTGATCCTTACTGCAATCTTACGAGGTAGATGCCGTTATAATCCCCACTTTTACAAATGAATAAATCGAGCCTAGTGAGGTTAACACATCTGCCTCCTTCCTCCCACCGAGAGAAGTCACATCACACAGCAAGCGGTGCAGGGAGGGTTTTCCGGGCCATGTGGTCTGGCCTGCAGGCCATGAGCTTTGCTGCCCTGCCCGATGGCCTCTCTAGCTGCCCTCCGTGTTTGTTCTTCCGTGTTCTGTTACGTATGTGGAAGCCAGAATTGCTCAAGTAGAAGACACGCAGCCTTTGTTGTCAAACAGCTTACAGTTTGGTTCACCAAACTCGACGGACTCCGACCGCTGAAATTCTTTAAGCACATGACTTCGTGCAAAGGGATCTAATATGTAGATGCCTAAGGTCATGAAAGATGATTATTTCCTAAAATACTCTTAATGAAGTCTCTTTAAGCTTGCACCAACTTCAAAGTGAACTGTGGCAAGACTATCTACAACTAAATTTGCCTCATGAAGAAAGTAATTTCACATGTATCTTAGTGCTACATAAGAATCCTCTATAAGCTTTATGAAAACATTAAATAAATTAAAAAAAAATACATGGTTCAACAATGTCTCTCTTTTTTTTTTATAACATTCCTTTTTTTTTAAGTTTATTTAGTTTTGCGAGAGACAGAGCAAGAGAGAGAGAATGCAGGAGGGGCAGAGGGAGAAGGAGACATAATCTCAAGCACACTCTACACTCTCAGGGTAGAGACTGATGTGGGGCTCGAACTCACAAACCGCAAGACCATGACCTGCGCCAAAGTCAAGAGTCAGACGATTAACCAACTGAGCCACCCGGGTGCCCCAACAGTATCTGTTTGGGCAGGCACATGAAGTATTCTAGTCTTATATGAAGGGTAAGATCTAGGGGATACAATTTCATTTTTGAAGTTAAATAAATACCAAGAAATCTGAAATTCATTATTATTTAACTCAGGTGTAACTCATTTTAAATCTAACACAAAATCGGGGCGCCTGGGTAGCTCAGTCGGTTGGTTAAGCGGCTGACTTTGGCACCGGTCATGATCTCGCCGTTTGTGAGTTCGAGTCCCGTGTCGGGCCCCGTGCCGATAGCTCAGAGCCTGGAGCCTGCTTTAGGTTCTGTGTCTCCCTCTCTCTCTCTGCCCCCCCCAGCTCGCACTGTGTCTCTGTCTCAGAAATAGATAAAACGTTAAAAAAAATCTAACACAAAATTTCCTTCCAATTAAAAAAAAACAGTAACCGGTAAAGATTAATTAGTAGCAGAGTGAAACCAAAACAACAACAACAAAACCTGACCCAAACTAATCACAAGCTCACCGTAGAATTAATGGGGTGGTGATTCTCCATGAACTGCTCTTTATTGTCCTTGGCATATTCAAACAACGTGTAGGTCATGGCGGTCCCGAGATGAATTTCCACTGCTTCCTGTAACTTGGCTAATATGCTCTGCTTTACAGCTGATGATCTACAACGCACAAGAAATACACTGCTGAGAAAAAAGTAAGGGGGAGTGTTACAAAAAAACAATGAGAACAAAACACTACTCACATGGTGTTGTTAAAAAAAGCGTTCATAGATATAATTGGAGGTGTTTGGGGATATGTTTCTGTCCAGGAAATCTCTATTAAGAAGGCTTTGGGATCGCCATTTTCACCTATCTGAAGAAAAGGGAAATCTTAGGCTTGTAAAAAGTGATACAAAGACAGAATATTTACTATGACTTTTTAAATGATGAATTATTGCCAGTGCTCACGATCAGGTCAGAAATGTAGTATTTTGAAAAGTTCAGGAGTACGGGCTAAGACTGGAGGAGTTGAGGGCCGTATGAATAGTCTGACTTTTGATGTTCACAGCCTGTCTCTCCAGACAGCCCTTCAGCTTTTCCCAGTACCGAGACTGTCTCACATACTTTTTGTCTCATCAAAACTTTTTGAAGGCAGACATCAACTGTGGGGGACAGGAAGGGAATGGACAAAGATAATAAACCAACCTGAAACCCTTCATCTTTGTCTGAAGTTTTCTAATTGCCAAATCATAAGAGGCATCAAGAACAAGTGAATTGCTACACATTGGCCCAATTCCAAGAGACCAGAAAATGAAATGTAAAACTTAGAGAAAAAAGGCAAAGAGATAAGGTTTAGGAATGCCTTAGGCTGGATGAGAACTTTCAAGATCTACTCTCTTACCAACCTTCAAATATATAATACGATACTATGAACTAGAGTCACCATGCTGAATGTTACATTTCCCTTACTTACTTTTTTCTAACTGGAAGTCTGTAACTTTTGACCCCCTTCACCTGAATAAAGATGTCTTTTTTATTTCTTTTGCTCGCCCCTACTTTTCACTTGGAAAAATGTTAATCTTGCAGAGAAACTAGAATAAGACGACGAGCACTCCTTGACATGTACCTTATTCACCAAATACCTCTGCTTCCATCCATTTCCCTTTCTTCCTTCCCACTACAGAACCAACCCCTGGCCCCAGGCGGGTGGCTTGTTTTCCTTTGTTTTTTGTTGAACTCTTTGAAAGTAAGACATGGTAAAACGTCCTGAAATATTTATTGGGTAGAGTATCCTAAAAACAAGGACATTTTCCTTTATAACCACACTACCATTATCACACCCAAGAAATTCAACATTGATACAGAAATATCATCTAATTCGTAATCCATCTAAAAAGTTCCCCAATCATATCTAAAGTGTCTTTAATGAACCACCTCCTCAACCCGTAAATCTGTAATCCATTAAGGATCATGGATTACATTTGGCTGCCAAATTTCAAATCCTGCTTTAATTTAGAACAGTACCCAGCCACCCTGTCTGCCTTTTAAATATCTTTCATGACAAAAATAACCAAGGGCAGTGTTCTTATATAATGTTCCCAGATCAGGACTGATGTTTCCTCTATTCCAAGTCCGATTAAATATTTTGGTAAGGATACTGTGCAGGTGCTGTGGTATATTCCCATAGCATCACATAAGGAGGCACATAAGATCTTCTGGAATCGTCACTGGTGATACTAAGCTTGATCACTTGGTTAAGGTGATATTCTCCAAATCTCTTCACTGTAAAGGTATCTTTTCCATTTTGTAATTAAGAAGTAATCTGTGGGGTGACACTACAAAACCATGTGAATATATTGTCTCGCAACATCTTCTCACCCAAAGGTTTTAGCATCCATTAATGATCCTTGCCTGAAACCATCATTGTGCTGGCAGCAGCAAAATGGTGATTTTTAAAAATTAATTATTTATTTGAGAAAGAGAGCGAGTGCACATGTGCACAAGTGGGGGAGAGGGGCAGAGGGAGAGACAGAGAGAATCCCAAGCAGGCTCCATGTTCAGCACAGAGCCCCACACACGGCTCGATCCCACGACCCTGGGATCATGACTTGAGCTGAAATCAAGAGTTGGACACTCAACCAACTAAGCCACCTAGGTGCCCCAAAATGGTGATTTTCTAATACAACTATGGAATAACTCACAAATCAGCATCTCCTTGTGCAAAGCTATGCTAATTTCCACTGTAATACTTTTAGTATATACGTTGGGGGTTTTTTAATATTTATTTTTAGACAATAGCAACAGATTAAAAAAATTTCATCCCAAATTGTTATTTGATTTACCTTTACTCTCTCTGACCACTACATTTTTATTCCCCTCATACTCAATCACAAGACATAGCAATATAAGGTGAGGCTTAGAAATTATGTCTAACTTAGGGCTCTGTTGATATTCACCTATGTAAGTTGATTACATACTTGGTTTATGCTTGTGTTTCAAATGCAGAGATGATAAAAAAGTGATGAAAATTACTTGCTTTATGCACTGAGTCCTTTTTCAAGGTGCATGTAAACAATGTGCCACATGCCTTCTGCAGCGCTAGGTATGGAAGATGCAAAGATAAAGACAAGACCACGCCTGTCTTCAAGGGGGGGCAGATGTTTAGGTAATTCACCAAACTGCATCATGATTAAACGTTTAAGGGGATGGAACAAAGTATGAAGACACGGGGGATGGTCAGTTCGGCTTTAAAGTCAACGGCTAGGAGACATGGCCCAAATACATCACAGAGGAGCCCGAGATAGGGATTAAAGGAGAAGAAGGCTGGATGAGGGATGTGAGGTGAGGGGAAGAGCAAATGATGTGTCCATGGGCACGGTATTAAAAATGCAGGAGGAGCACCTGGGTGGCTCAGTCGGTTAAGCGTCTGACTTCAGCTCAGGTCACGATCTCATGGTTCAAGAGTTCCAGTCCCGCGTTGGGCTGTGTGCTGACAGCTCAGAGCCTGGAGCTTGCTTTGGATTCTGTGTGTGTGTCTCTCTCTGCCCCTCCCTCGCTCGCACTCTGTTGCTCTCTCTCTTTCTCAAGAATAAATAAACATTAAAAAAATTTTTTTTTAACGCAGAGAAATGTTCCACAAGCTACTATGGCTAATGGACAGTGGTGGCTGGGAAAATCTGGAGAGGCAGTGTGGGGCAAACAGAAGGGACTTGAGTGTCAAGCTAAGGCATTTAATCCTTATTCTATAGGCAGGAGAAACCTTTTTAAAAGAAGGGCTGGGGTAACTAATTACATGTCTCAGGGAGCTGACTAGTAGTCTGAGAAAGGACGAGTGGAGGGGTGCTGAGGGAAGCTGAGGACACAACCAGAAGGGAAGAACTGCTCAGCAGGCTACTAAACCCGTCTGCACAGGAACTGAGTGAGGGGTCTGACTATAACCCGGCCAGGACTGTGCCCTTGTCCTCCGACTGTCACAACAGACAAGGTTTCTAAACCTCACTTTTTATTCCCTTTAAATCCATCCTGGGGGCGCCTGGGTGGCGCAGTCGGTTAAGCGTCCGACTTCAGCCAGGACACGATCTCGCGGTCCGTGAGTTCGAGCCCCGCGTCGGGCTCTGGGCTGACGGCTCGGAGCCTGGAGCCTGTTTCCGATTCTGTGTCTCCCTCTCTCTCTGCCCCTCCCCCGTTCATGCTCTGTCTCTGTCTGTCCCAAAAATAAATAAAAACGTTGAAAAAAAAAATTAAAAAAAAAAAAAATCCATCCTGTAGGACACACGCACGTTCTACTACATTCCGTACACTGCTCAACGAGTAGCTGCTGTTGTTAATACGGATATTTAGGAAAGGATGGGGCAATTCTCAGTCTCCCATTTGCTAAGGGGAGAGTGGCAGTTATTGGGGAAGTCTGGGCAGGCAGGCGGATTCAAATTGAAGGTCTAGGACTTAACTCCAATGTGAACCTTGGCTATTCAAAGTCTTTCATCTTCGTATCCCTGGAGTGGCCTAAGAATTACTGAGCTTCAAAGGGAATCAAGAGGAGTGGAGCAGAGGGGAGAATATCTAAAGAAAGTAATTATAGATAATCTATTTCCTGTGATGTCTAGAATTATGTATTTATTGTCTTAACTTACTTTAGATGATGATGTAAATAACTGTAAATCTTTTACAAAAAAACTTTCTCATATTACTACCATTTATAATCATCTGGATAAGTGGTTTTTACGTTATTTATTTACAAAATAAGATACTGGTACTGTTTCATGTTGAAAACAGTTATAAGCAAACTCCCTTTTAGAGAAAAATTGACATAACACATAATGTAAAAAATATTCACACATATTGATTATATGGAATTAGGAAAATATCAACTTTTCTTGACTAGATCATAAGGTAGTAAAAATAATTCTAGATTTGGATTAGAGACCTGGATTTTAAATCTAGTATTTATCAGGATCAGCTTGGAAAGCTTAGGAAGCTATGACTGAGAAAAATTATCTTTAAGATTAGAAGGCAAAATTATATAATTTCCAAGGTTTCTTCCATTTCTAACATTTGATGATTCTGTCACAATAAAAACAAATTTATCTTGATTTTTAAAAGTTTCTGAATTGGGGGCGCCTGGTTCACACAGTTGGTTAAGCCTCCAACTCTTGATTCTGGCTCAGGTCATGACCTCAGATTCGTGGGTTCGAGCCCCTTGTGGGGCTCTGCGCTGACAGCATGGAGCTTGCTTGGGATTCTCTCTCTCTCTCTCTCTCTCTGCCCTCTCCCACTCATTCTCTCTCTCTCTCTCTCAAAATAAATAAACTTGAAAAAATAAAAAAAAATTAAAAATTCAGAAAAAGTTTCTGAATTGTTTTTAAAAGTTACAAATAACTGATGTCACGGTGTGAAGCTTTCATTCAAATGCTTTGGAAAACCCAAAGATGTAATAAATTTAAACCACTAAATTCAAAATACAAAATCATTTAAAAAAAAAAAACACAGCATTTTTAGCAACCTTCAATCTTTTATAAAAAAAATTTTTTTTTTTTAATGTTTATTTATTTTTGAGAGACAAAGAGACAGAGTGTGAGCAGGGGAGGGGCAGAGAGAGAGGGAGACACAGAATCCGAAACAGGCTCCGGGCTCTGAGCTGCCAGCAGAGAGCCCGACGTGGGGCTGGAACTCACGAACTGCAAGATCATGACCTGAGCTGAAGTGGGAAGCTTAACTGACTGAGACACCCAGGTGCCCTTAGCTTCATCCTTTTCTGGGACAGTCGCAAGGGCTCCTGTCTGTGCTGCGTCTTACCCTGTACTGGAATGAAACTGGACTCAATTCCCGGAAGCTTTCGTCTCCTTCATAAATAGAACGTAATGCTTCCAGTTCCATCTGAAAAAAAATGAATCAAGTGAGTTCTGCTTAGTGGTATAAATGGATTAGTTTCCATTCAAGACCACTCCACTGTGTAAAACTTAGCTACCTTTTACCGCCTTCCATGTTTATAACATTTGTATACAAGGTATATAGTCCATGTGCAACATAGTAACACAATATTAATACTAATAGTTACTTTAATCCTTCCCCCAGAATACCAAACTTGAAAAAACATTAATGGACAACAGAAAGAACTTAAAAAAAAAAAAAAAAAAAAAAAAAAAAAAAAAAAAAAGATGGTTAGAAACAGGTTGACAAGGATCTACCCAAGACGCAAAAGGGACTGCAAGAGAAAATGTCACTAATAATCCTTGCCTGGAAATATTTCTGAGAGCACTGTGGGCTGACGGATGAGGACTCCATCACACTTGTGATGACTGATGAACGCCCGAGAAGAGAAGCAAGGAAAGACATCACTTGGGTATGTATTTTACTTTTCAAAAAGATGCGTGTCATGAATTCTACAGACTAAGATAGACAAAATTTGAGAACAGATTATTAAAGAAACGGTTCGTGGGGTCCCAGGGGAATAAAGAGTAGAAGTCCCTGAGCATTGGCAAGCGGACGAACAGCAAGATAAACGGAAGCACCCTTTCCTAGAGAGGGTGACTTGGCTGGCACATCAGGAAAAGGCCCACATGAGTTTCGGCAAGGCACCTCTTGCTACCTTCACAGGAAAACAAATAACAGGAGTTCAAACTGGATTCAAGAGCAACTGAGATTAGATCAGAAACAACAACCTTATTTCAGATCTAGTACTCCTCCTCCTGCCCTTAATCCTTTCACATATTTTAACTAAGGAGTAGGACTGGAACAAAAATTGAATGCAGGCTTAGCAAGTTTACGAATGACAATTTGATGGGATAGTGAATCGCGCTGGTAGCAGAAGAATTCAGAACACCCTTGCAAAACCATCTAACCACATGAAATTTTACAGGGTGGGAGGAAGAATTTATCTCAGATACCTAAACAAACGAACAGAGGATGAAAAGCTAATTGCTCTGTACACGGCACTTAAAGGGTTGTAGTTGACAGGAGCTACCCGTAGAAAACAGGACACAAATAAACATAATCTGTGCACAGACACGATTCCAGGAGAGTGAAAGAACAAAAAGAATGGACATATGGAGAAAAGCTAAAAGGAACCACTGCGTATGAGGACAGGACATCGGAAAAACTGGGCAGAAAACTGTCTTCAAAGATGTGGAAGTCAGTCATGTGGAAGAAGCATGGAATTCTATTATTAAAATAGAGATCTCTGGGCTCCCCAGGAATTCCAGGTCCGTAAATTCCAGGCAAAGTACAGGCTTCCGTTTGTCTAACAACCACCCCAAAGGTTCTAAGCCTTGCTCCCTGGGCCAGACTTGGAGAAACGTTACATTTTATGCTCCATGGTTCACAGTACCAACTTTTTCATGCCTCCGCTTAGAAACTCACCAGGCAAGAACGGTTTCGAAGGGATTCACATATCAATTAGCTTGTTGGACATTGGGGTCCTTTACAGGTAACTTCCAGTCCAGAAAGACTACCACATCTATCATGGAAAGTGCCACCTTTCAAGAAATATATTCTAAATGAAGAGTGAATTGCGTACCTGGGAGACTCGGATTCCAGTCCTGAGTCTACCCACAAGCTCACTGCGCAGCCCTGGGGCGTTCACTTTGCCCCCGCCAACTCTTTTCCATCTGTACACACGACACCGCTAGAGAAGGTTCCCCTAGAGATGACCTGTGTTACTCCCTGATCATATGATTCAACGTCAACGTGGCATTTCACGAGAGAATATCTGAGCACAAACCCTACGATTCAGGTGGCACGTGTGTGCTCAAAATAGACTTCGTTTCCACTGGACAACCACCAGATGGATAAATGATGCCACCAAACAATAAGGCCAGAAACCAGTGTCATTGTCTTCCTCCACCAGAAATTTAACTAACTCAGGGAAGCCTCTCCCTACCGGCCAATAGACTTGAAAGTTTAAAAGTGATCAGATTCCAAACAATGTAACTCAGTACACAAGCGCTACAACAAGAACCTTGAGGACTGAAGGTGAGCCGAGAGCACTGGCTCGCCAACCAAGGACACTCATCCTTGTTATTAAGGAGGCGTGGGGCCACCCCCCCCCCCCGG